CCTGTCGTCGCTCACTCGATGTCCGCGCCACTCTGTCTCTCTCGCACCACCGCGGTGCGCCCGGCGAGTGCGAGAGAGACGGAGCGACGAAAGCAGTGTTCGACCTCCTCGCGTCCAATTTGGCGGTGCCGCTCGGGCCGACTCGATAGCGCCGAGTGTGGCAATCCGCCGCGCGGCCTTGCTCGCTCAGTGTCTTTGTAAAACCTCCCCGCTGCCCTTCAAGCGGCCGAGCAGCACAGAGTGTGTGCTTCGAGATAACACCGACAGATAGCGCCGCGACACGTTCGAGTTCGAGTCGGCCCCCGGTCGCCCCCCCCCCCCCCCCCCCCCCCCCCCCGGGCCCAATGCACTGAGGCACGCTGCAACGCGCAGCGCAGCAGCGCGCGGGGAAGGTTCCTAGTCGCCGAGCCAAAACACACACACCACACACACACACACACACACACACACACAAACGCACTACGCCGCCACAGAGGAGTATCGAGTAGCCCTTATGCACTGGGGCGCGGCCTGCTATATGACTCGCACTTACCGACACACACACACACACACACTGGTGGGACATGCTTGGGCGGCCGGGCGAGCACGTCCATTTGGCACGACCTCCCGATCGGCCCGCCGCCGCCTTGCCCCCCCCCCCCCCCCCCCCCACCAAAAGATAATGCTCGGCTATGATAACATCGAGTGCAGGTTGCATGTCGCGCGCCGCGTGCGCAGTCGGCAGCCACGGCAGCCGTGCAAGTGCGGCATTTGAGCGAAATACTACTACTATAGTGTAGTGTGCGCGCGGGGGTGTAGCAAGCGCTTTCATTTCATAAGCCGGCCGGCGGACAATCTGGGATTAGCATAGGCTGGCCGGTCCGGGCCGAGGGCGCCAGGGCCAGTGGCGGGCAGGCGGGGCAGGCGGGGCAGGCCCCCGATACGCGAAGGCATCGCCGCGGTGCTCGCGTTCGCCTCCACCCCGCGGGGGAACCGAGTCGGGTGTCAATTAAAAACGGTGTGGCATTCCACGGGGACGCGTGCGCGGGCAGCCTCCACTGACCAGAAGGCCGAGCGGCGCCTCGTCGCTCTGTCTCTCTCGCACTCGTGGGCAGTGCCGTTGGGGCGCGAGAGAGACAGAGCGACGAGTCCACCGCTCGGCGTGAGCCAGCTGCTGCTGCTGGGCGCGAGAATGGTTCGAATGCGAAATGCCGCCACTGAGAAAACAGGCACAAGGGCGGACCGCGAAGTGCAAAAAATAAGGAGAGAGAGAGAGAGAGAGAGAGAGAGAGAGAGAGAGAGAGAGAGAGAGAGAGAGAGAGAGAGAGAGAGAGAGAGGCGTGTCAATTTTCCGCGCCTGACTTGGCCGAATCATGGGACAAGCGGAGGCAAACGGCCCATAAAGCCAATTTTAACGCGCGAATCGGCAACGACAAAACGTGCCCTACAAAAAAAAAAACAACAAACAAAAGCAACATCCACTCATTCTTATCGACGGGCCGCTGGCGTGCGTACCGCTCCACATTCGGAACGCCGTAAAAATGATGGCGCACTGTCCGGATTAATTACAAAGCTCCACATCGGAACAAGCAAGGGCGGCTACGTATGATAAATGTACGTTTGGCTTCTGTGTGTGTGTTCCTTGCGTGAGTAGTGTGAGCGGCAGCATAACAGCAGTACGACGAACTGTACACTGTACGCCACTTAATTGACAAGTCTTTTCTCCGTACACACACACACACACACACACATACAAGCAAACCATTTACCCGCCTTCCGGACGCACACGTTAATCTCACCGACGACGTCTAATTAGATAGTCTGCCCTAGGTACACTTTTTTCTCCCCCCCCCCTCCTTTTCTCAGGCGGCACGCGACCGAACGCACACACAGAAAGACACACAAACACACATAGACACACGAGTCCTGAAAGTGGAGCAGCCGGCTGTGCGCATGCAGGCTAGACAAGGACACATGATTTGCAAACACCGCCAGGCCACTGCCAGGCGTGCCGCCGGGTGGGTTGGCTCGGATTTCGGAAAGCGTTCGCCGGGCTGCCACTGCCAGGCCAAAGTCACCCCACCACTCTACTCCCGTGTTTCGTTTCCCGGACTCGAGAGACGCAATGTCACCGGAGTGCCCGTAAAAGAAGTACGGCCTGCTGAATCCGGATACGGGGAACATTTGACGACTTTCCGACTTTGAGATTGGCCTTTGTTCTACGGCTATCGGAGACGCGAAACCAGTTTGGCCTGCCGCCGTGCCTTGCGTTGATTTAAAAAAAAAAAGTGAACAGTTTTATTTTTCCACACCTTACCACAGAAATCGACGCGCCACGAATTTACACAAACAGCCTGCCGTCGGCGCGCGCTCCAATTTAGTTTGAAAACGCAGCGAACGCGTGTCGGCCGCGGCGTCGGCAAAACGGCCGAACCTAACAACCGCCGCGCTGCCGCGCTGACTTGCACACACGACGACATACGAACGCACCCGGAGTGAACAGGCAGCCCAAGCAGGCAGGCCGGTGGAACAATTTCGAAAAGTGAGCGCCGCGCGCCGTTGCACACACGCACACACACGCACACACACACACACACACACGCACACACGCACACACAAACGCGCGCGTATCGGCTGCCAAACCCTTTCACTTTCTTCTCTGCACTTCTCGGTGGACAACGACGTTGCTACAAAATACATTTCCTTTTACTTTTATACGACACAAATCAGTTGAAAAGGAAGCCTTTGCAGGGGAAGGCGCATACGCAGCAACGGTGGTGGTGGTGGTGGTGATTGTGTGTGTGAGTAGTGTGCCTGAACGTCCGGAGTGCGCACACGCACACACACACAGGTCACACTCACACTCAGTATTCTCGGCAGCATGAAGCACGTCAGCGTGGCACTTCATTAGAAGCGCCACAAGCGCTACTACGCCACGCCCGTATAAATCCTAAGGCCACGACACACACACACACACACACAGCCTGCAAACGTCGGATTATTGGCATTTCAAAGTGTATAATGGGAAGAATAAAGTGGATCGCTCCAACGCGGAACACGCGTGCGACATGGCGTGTGGGGCGTGCCAGGCGTGCGCGCCACGCCCCGTGCATATGACCCGCGTGACACACGCACACACGCACGCGCACACACACACACACACACGCACGCACGCACACACGCACGCACACCTACACACACACACACAGGTCCATACGCACGCGGAGCCGAGGCGGCAGCGTGCCGGGACAGTCACGGAAATGAAATCCGAAGACAATCACTCGCGAATAATGAATCTTATTTTTTCCCTTTCCTGCTTGAGGGGCCGAGTGAAGCTGATTATGACAACTGAGAGCATTAAAGCAAGCAGCCAGGCGGGCGGCAAGGCGGGCGGGCGACTCGGAAGAGTCTCTTCGTCACTCCGTCTCCGTCGCACTCGCGGGGCTCTGCGTGACGGTGCGAGGGAGACGGAGCGACGGCTGGCGGCCATCCGTCTCTATTACGGCGGGCCGGGCCTCGGACTCCGCGACGCGACGCGCCGCGACGCGCATGTCGCAGTGCTGTTGCCGCCGCTGTCCCGCGGGATCATCGCGCGCCCGCCCCCAGGCCCGATGATGACTTTTTAATGTCTCATTTTGGAAAATAAATCACACGATATGGGCCGCGGCCGTGCGGGGCCCAGGCAGGCAGGCAGGCAGGCAGGCAGGCAGGCCGCGCGGCGTGGCGTTGAAAAATGAGCGCGCGTCCGAACGGAGTCTCTCTATTAGGCTGCAGCCCGCGGCCGGCCAGCGGATTCACTCCGAGAGTCGCTCTGTCTCTCTCGCACCCGTCCGGGACGCCCCACGAGTGCGGGAGAGACGGAGCGACGAGAACGACTCTCGGAATGAGTCTACGGGGGCCACGGGGGTCAATACGTCGCGCCTGTAATGAGCAAGCCCTCGATTGGGTCGGCCGCCAGCCCCAGCCCCGACTGGCCGCCTGACCGCCGGCCAGCAGCTGGCTGCCGCTGGCTGCCGCTGGCTTGGCGCTGCCCGCACGTCCATCAGGCCCAGGCAGGCCTGCTCTGCGCCGATGCCCGCGTTCAAGTCTCCCAGCACCCAGTGCACCGCCGCCCCGGCGGTGAGGTGTCACCCACACTCGACTTGAAGCGCGCGCCGTTTAAAAAGCGATATCTCGACGGCAGGAGGGCGGTGACGAAACTCGCTTCGGAAGATCGAGTGATACAGAACACCTTCTTCGACAAGAAGTACGGCTCGGCGGACCAGCAGAACGACACAAGAAAAAGAGAGAAAAATAACGGATAAAACAACGAGGCGGCGTGTAGCAGGCAATGCGAGGGGGGAGAGGGGGGGGCAACCTTGCGATATTCGGTTACCCCTTCGCCCGGCCTGCACCGAGCTGCACCCGGCCACTCCGTGCAGGGCTTGCGTAACCTGCTCCAGCGCCCCGCCCCGCCCCGCCCCGCCCCGCCCCGCCCCGGACCACCGCGCGCACTGGTCGAAAAACGACGTGCCACGCTCACGACGGCGGCGTGCTGGCGTGCTGCATCGCCACGGCGGGGGCCGCGGGGGCGTGGTTGGCGACCCGAGCGCTGCTGTGAACCGCCCCGGGGAGGCCGGCCTGGCTGGCGGTGCCTGTCGCCACGACGCTGGGACCCTACACCGCCAAGCCGCCGACGAGGCCGCCGAGGGGCAGGCGCAGGCAGGCCCATGCCAGCAGGAGCCCAAACACTCCGGGCGCACAGTGGGCCAGCCTGGGGCCGCCTCCACTATAGTCTTCTGGCCCACTGCGCGGCCCTCGGGGTGCGCGTTGGTCGGTTAGCAACGCGGCTGGGCCAATATCCCGGCTTGCGCTCGTCCGGCGTGGCTGACCGCGCTTCCATCAAACCGGTGAAAGGCGTGCCGATTTAAGGGTGTACACTCCGCGCTAAAACCACCAGCGGGTCGCGAGGCGCCGCGACGAAGAGAGACTTGACGCGCCGCGGGGTGTTTCCCGCGCCTGAATCGGTAAGAAGGGCTCACCTTGTACAGCTTGTCCTTGTTGTACCAGACGTCCTCCTCCTCCTCCTGCTGCGCCACGAACGTCGAGTCCAGGTTCAGGTCGTCCCTGGACCGCGACAGGATTCGCCTCCGGGACACCATGTCGCCGGCCGGGGCTGGAGGCAGCGGCGGCCCGCAGCTGTGGACAAGAAGGCAGACGGTGGTGAGGCAAGGCCGGGCAAGGCGGCCAGGGTGCCGGTCACGTGGTCCCCGCGTCTCTTGTCCTTGAGGGCCTTGAGGGCCTTGACGCCCAGGACGTGCCCTCGGGGCGCCGGGGCCGCGCCACTGTCACACAAAAGACGCGTGCAGTCGTCGTTGTTGTTGTTGTTGTTGTGTTATCAGCCCCAACGCATATGCAGGCGCCGCGGAGCGTATCCCAGCCGCCCGGGTCTCGACGGCAAGCAAAGCCAAAAACAAACAAGCACCAACAAACAGAAATCCTTTTACAGTGCGAGTCCCATCATTATCTGAAACAGCAACGATCCACGCCATTTCGCGCACTCCGAAAATCATCCTTTACGACGGCGAAAGTGAGGCAGGCCTCCGCCGGCCTGATACGGGCAGAGCGGAGACTTCCTCAGGGCGTGTAATCGCAGGGTCCCTCGACAAACAACGACCAGGATGCGCGCGTCCCTCGCAGGGCGTCGCAGGGCGACGCAGGGTGTCCGAAGCGGGGCCGCGCTGGACGACGACGACGACGACGACGACGCCAGGCCGCATTGTCCACCACGAGAATGGAAGCATTGTCCGCGGCGCCGTGGGGGGCCGAAATCAATAATATCGCTCCGCCTTTCCCAGCGCGGCGTGCGTGCAGCAGGTGCACGCGTGCGTGCGTGCGCAACCTTGCGGCGGTAATGTGTCATAGGTTCGTTATCAGCGGGGGGTCATGCCGCGCGTGTCGGACGCTGGTATGTGGAGCACTTGACTGCACTGCTGCACATTGTGTGTCTCTGTGTGTGCGTGTGTGCGCGCGGCCCCCTCAAACACTCACGGCATCCATCATACACTGTATGTGTGTTTCGCATGGTGGACGTAAGTCTTTGCACACACACATACAGGCACGCACACACAACGAGGCACAGTCAGTCCGCGCGAGCGGCAACTCTTCCAGTCTTTTGTAATTTCGAGACCGCGCCGGTCGCGCCCTCTGCGATTCATTCGTCTCTCTTTTTCTTCTTTCTTTCTGGGTCCGCCCTTTTCTTCTATTTCGATGGACGGCTGTGAATGGCGTGCAGTGCGGTACGGCCGGGCACGGCGGCGGCGTGGAACACTCGGTGGAACAGGTAGGCAAGCGCTTGGGCAACGTGCATGCGTGCTCGCGTGTGTGTGTGCGCGCGCCTCTGTGTGTGTGTGTGTGTGTGATAGCTCGTTGCCTGAATATGAAGCTGATCGCCGCTTGGCTCGGCCAGTCCTGGCATTTTGATGCAATCGGTTCGGCTCGAGAGCGAAAGTGGCGTGTGAGTGTCGTACCTTCGCGAGCCAAGAGGGCAGTGCCTCTCTTATGTAGTATTTTTGAAGGCAGTCATGTGCCATGGCTGGACGCGCATCGGAGTGTTTATGGCCCGCGGAAAACAATTAGGTCTGCATTACTGCGCCAAGGAGAACGGCAAAGCACTCACACAGACGGACGCCAAAGTGGAGGGGGTGGTTGGAAAATGCGTTCAGACAGTGGTCAGTCGCGGTGAGGAGAGGGTGGACCGGTGTACACACACACATACATACATACACACACACACACACACACACACAGCAGAACCAGCTCCGTCACTGGGTCACTGCGGCATCAGCGTAAAAGCCCCTCGCCAAGCCGCAGCGGGAGCAGCATGCGGCATGATAGCCCTGTCAACAACGAGCCTCTTCGCCAATAATTACTGTTTAAAGGTGAGACCGAACAGACGAACGGGGTTGTGAAAATGTCAAAAAAAAACTGAATGAACGAACGGGCCGGGGCACGTGCAGACAGCCAGACAACGCAATCGGCTCTCCGTCTTCACTCATCGGCCGGTGGGCCGCGAGGCCGCGAGGCTGGAGAACAAGAGCTTGGAATGCGTGGGCGGCGGCCGGCGGCGGCGCTCCAGGAATCTCCAGGATGAATGCGCACCAGTTAGTCCGGTTTCGTTTTTTTTACCCTTCGTGGTTTTAGAACAATTGACGGTTGTATCCCGCGGCCTGCAGCGTTGCATATCCTGTTCGGCTGGCCGCCGCTGCGCCGCTGCGCTCCCGGATGGCGGTGGAGGCAGGTCCCCGGGACGCAGTGGCGCTGGGCTGCGCTGGGCAGGCACGCCTGCGCGCGTTCGCGCGTTTTCGCGTTTCGTTTTTCTCGGCCAGAAAAAAAGCCGGCAAAGGGTTGGGCGCCGTCGTCACCGTCGTCACGGACTTGGAGGCGAGGAAGGGCGGCGGCGTGGTGCACGACCGCCTCGACCACCGCGATGGAGTCATCGGCTCGGTAAAAAAGGCTCAAATGGCGGAACTGCAGTAGGAACTGCAGGCTGGCCGGCGGCGCCGACAACATGACGGAATGACGGGCAAACAATAAGAGGCCCTTGTGTCGAGCGGCGCACAGTGGGCCAGAAGACCGGTGGAGGCCGTCAAAGTCCTGAACGCGTATTAAGCTGCAGTCACTAAACAGTACTCCGAACGAGGAATCCATTGATAAGGTCACACGCCCAGTTCAAGCCCCATTTGGCGACTCTGGAGCTCAAAACGCGTTAAGAGTTTTGGCCGCCTCCGCCGGTCTTCTGGCCCACTGTGCGGCGTGGAAGTGTGCAACGAGCCGCAAGACCTCGTTACGGCAGTGTGTCGGAAGCGATCGGTTCCCGTCGATGTAATTGCCAGTTCTAGGCGGCAATCCGAGGGGAAGCCAGTTCGCCGTTTTTTGTCCGCAGCCTGCCAAAGAGCAAGAGTGCGGCGTGGTACAGCACAGCGGAGGCCGGCGAACGAGATCGAACCCAGGAATGGGCAGGGCAGGGCAGACAGACTGGACTGGACTGGACTGGTCGACGGGGACGTTCCGCGGGGCGCGGCCGCGGCGGCCCGTGAGGGACGGCGACGTTTACGACGCGCCCAGCGGTTCAACTTTGATCTTTGCAGCCGAAAAAGCGACTCCAGCACGACGCGGGGCGGACGGCATGGCGGATTTACGCGAAGGCTTGTTGCTGCCCCGCCAAGACTCACCTGCGGGCCGCCTTGACGGGGGCGGGGCGCGGGGGTGGCATCGGGGGTAATCCTCACTCCGATAGAGCACTGCACTGCACTTCACACTGGTTTTCCCACACTATCCACTTCAGCTTCTGCACACAAACACACACACACACACACACACACAGTGACACTCGCGTCGCGGGGGCGGCACACTCGCCCCGTTGGTGCCTCGGACACGGCCACGCACCGTCGCGGTGCCTCGCGCTTCGCGGTGCTCGCGGCGGTGCTCGCGACAGCGGTACGCGGCCAAACCGAAGCGCCGCCAACGGGCCGAGTGCTTGCCTTGGAGCGGCGGGGCCCAGACTGCGGCGCGCGCACACAGAGGCCGCCACCGGCGCAAGGCAGTCAAGGAATTCCCCCTCTCGCGCGCCAGTACCGCGCCTCGCCGCTAGAGGGCGCGCCGCCTCCGCCCCGGCCGCGCGGTAGCACCGGAGCACTTGACTCGATAGTGTGATGCATGGTGATGCTGCGGCCGGCTCCGGCACCCCGGGGCTACCCGGAGCGAGCCGCCATCCGCGTGACGACTTCGACGGCCGGGGCCCGGGGCCCGGGGCGGTGCGGAGCGGTGCCGCGTGACGTCAGTCAGAAGCCGCCGGAGTGGCTGGGGCGGAAATGCACCTGCCGTCTGAGCAGTCTCTCTCTCTCTCTCTCTCTCTCTCTCTCTCTCTCTCTCTCTCTCTCTCTCTCTCTCTCTCTCTCTCTCTCTCCCCCTCTCTCACTCGCCCTCCGTCGCACTCATAATGGATTCGAATAATGGATTCCGCAAGGATTCGAGAGAGACCGAGTGCCACCCGGCAGATGCGTTCGCAGCCATCGGGCCATCGCAATCAACGTGTTAAGGGCCATCAAGACACGCTGGTTACCGCGCACGGCCGCCTGGAGTCCACACGAGATACGACACCCTAAAATCGGGAAAATCCTCATCGTTGTAATAATTCACGGAAAGGGGCAGTTAGCTCGGGCCGTAACGAGTTGCGTGCTGCGTGCACGCGCGTGCGTTGGGACCGACGGCCCAACGCAGCGCACGCAGCACACGCAGCCTCACGACGCGTCACGTGGCCACCGAACGAGTTCCGTGTGGGAACCGTAGAGGTCAACCAGAACAGGGCGCGGCGGCGCGGCCCGGGTCCGGCCGCCGTGGCGGGCAAGGCTGCGACACACACACGCACACACACACACACACACACACACACACACACACACACGGCCCGAATCTCACGAGGCGCCCGATCCAAGCGCGATTTTTCAAACGAGAGGACGGCGGTGAGGTAATGAAGTGCATGGCGGCTTGGCGGCGCCGGGCGGCGCGGCTGGCGGGGTGCTTGGGGTCAGATAGGACGGCCACAAAATGTCAGAGTCAAGCGGCGGGGCAGCCGAGGCGGAGCCGCCGAGGCGGTTGGCGGGGCTGAGCAGCACCGAGGCTTGCTAAATCGTAGCACAGCCGCCGCCGCCCCGCCGCCGCCCCGCGCCGCGGCAGATGAGCAACATGCTCCGGTAGATCACAATCTGTTTAGCGACCACACCGGGCGGCGAGCGGGCGGGCGAGCAGTCGTGCGGGCAGCAGGCGTGCGGGCAAAGTCGGGTGGGGGATCATCATTCGGCACGTCGCGCCGAAGAGCCGACGATCACGCCGCCATGACGCCGCCGTGGACTCGAACTGGGGTAGGATCCGCACGCGTTTCGCAAGCCGGCACGCCGCGCTCTGCGTGTGAGTGTGTGTGTGTGTGTGTGTGTGTGTGTGTGTGTGTGTGCGTGTGACTGTGTGTGTGTGGCGGTGTGCAAGTGGGTATAAGTCTCCGCATGAGTGATGTTAGCCGGTCTGCATACTCCGTGTGCCGCTGACTGACTGCAGCGACAGACACACAAACAAGCAGCGGGCGAGAAGGGGCCGCAGCGCCACTGCAAAGGCGTGAGGGGGAGGGGGAGGGGCCTTGACCG